GGGGAGAGGGAGTTTGATCAGATGTTGGCATGACGGAGTGGGGGTGTTAGACTCTCACTCCATTTCGCATTGTTTTGTGCCCTGCGTGTGTTCTGCAGCATCATGACAAAGCACTCTGCCCAAGGAGTGAAGAAGCACTTCGAAGAAATCGCTCCGTCCGGCGCGTTAGACAAGGGCAACAAGAGGAGGAGATGCAGGTACTACGACCAGGTGAGAACCGGGACCGCATCTCGGCTGAGGACGCACTTCCTGAATGGTGCTTGCACTGTCGAGCGTCTGAGGGACACAATCAGCAAGGAGGAATTGGAGCAGAGGGTGGAAGGAAGAAACGCCGCCATTGCAGAGCTTGGGGGATTGGTTCCCGGAGCAGCTGGTCAGAATGACCGTGACTCCTCTTCGGGCGAGGACGAGAATGATGCGGATGATGTGGTCACTACCGATGTGCACACGAAGATATTAGCAACAGCCACCAAACAGACTAAGATCACCGACAGTGCAGCAATCATCACGAAGAACGAGGAAACCCAGCGTTCGGTGGACTACTGGATGACTGCCGAGTGCATACCGTTCAACATGATGTGAAGCGTGTATTGGGACCGGATGGTGAAGAAGTTGAGGGACGCGTCTAAGTCCTTCCACTACGCAAAATTTGATGATGTGCGAACAAAAAGGGTGGCTGTTACGCGAAAGCGGGTGTCGGAAAGGATGGAGCACCTAAGGAAGGAGTGACCCGTCAGCGGTTGCATGTTGCAACTTGACGGGTGGACCACCTAAGGAAGGAGTGACCCGTCAGCGGTTGCATGTTGCAACTTGACGGGTGGACCGATAGACGAGGAAGACCGTTCTTGAACGTCATGGTCTCCTTCCCCACAGGCATCGTCTTTTGGCGGGTTGTTTGCATGTAGCGCCGGGACAAAGGGGCGAAGGCGTACTTCGACATTTTGGCGAGGGTTATCCGCGAGATCAGGGAGGAGTCAGTCGTAGGGGTGGTGATGGATATACAGCCACCTGCGCAGCTGCGGGGCGGATGGCCGAAGCCGAGTTCAAGCACATCTTCTCAGTCTCGTGCACAACGCACAGCATTGACCTGATTTTCGAACAATTCGGGAAGATCGGTTGGGTGGACGTGGTGCTCAAGAAGGTAGCAGAGCTGGTGAATTTTTTCTGAACCACACGAAGGTCAGAGACTTGCTTCTCGTCGAATCTCGTGGAGCAATTCTCTCGAGGCCCTGGGCGACTCGATTCGCCACGAACTTCATCATGTTGGACAGCGTGCAGGACTTGTATCTGTCGCTGCGAACATGTTTGACGGACAAGGACTGGAAGGAAACCATGGTGCTTCCAAAGCAGCGCCACTTGTTTCACACTGCAACAGAGACCGTCTTGGACAATGATTTCTGGGCGGGAGTGGAGAAGGTGCAGAAGACGTCCGCACAATCCTCGATTTGTTGAAGTTGAGTGACGAAGTCGGCCCAACGATCAGCAAGATCTATGGGCGCATGGACGAGGTTGTGGAGAGCTTACGGAAGCAGGAATGTTTCACAGACGTGGAAAAGGGGGAGCTTGAGGAGATCATCATGCGGAGGTGGAACACGATGACTTCTCCGCTGCATTGCGCAGCGCTGCATTGCGCAGCGATGTTTCTTGATCCTTAGTTCAGGGACTCCAGCCTGGACAAGGATCCGAAGGTAATGGATGGATTTTGGACATGGTTGTACTCTTGGGCAAAGCCGTCTGGGTACCGGGAGTTGGACGAGGAAGTAAATTGCTGGATTGAAGGGACGGGGAAGTTCAGAATTGAGAGAGCCCTTGCAGACGTGTCCAAAGTCCAGCCAGCGAGATGGTGGAGGAAGTGGTGCAGCGACATGCCGAACTTGCAGCGCCAGACGATCCGTTTGCTTGGATAGGGGTCATCTGCCTCGGGGTGCGACCGAAACTAGAGTCTCTTCGAAACAATTCACACCAAACCGCGGAACAGCCTTGGCGTCGAACAATTGAGCAGATTGGTGTACAACAGATGGAACCAACATCTATTGGACAATCTTGCGAAGAAGCCTGATGAAAAGGAGGAGGCAAAGAAGAAGAAGCCATGGAGGAACGGGGTTGGGGACTTGACACCGGAGCAATTGTGCAAAGAGGCAAAGAAGATGGTGGAGGAGTGGAGAGCCAAGTTGCACAGGGATAGGGAGGAGGGAGAGGATGGCCAGGGAGAAGAAGATGACGACGACTACGATGGTGGTGTTGAGAACGTCGCCACGGCAAACCCCATCGCACGCCAGCGGGCCAACAGCAGCTTCCTTGAGCTCGAAAGGGAGCTCAACAAGGACCTGCCTTCATGGAGGAAGGTCATACGGCCTTCCAAGTACCTCGGCCGGTTGCATTTAGAGGAATCTCAGTGTGCGAGCAAGACTGTCACTCACGAGCACGCTGAGAAGTATATCAGTGCGAGAGTTGAAGCGTGTGCACCAAATGTGAAGGCACCCGCGAATAGGCCTCGAGGGCGACCGCGGAAGGTGGCACACGTGCAGGATACTGCAGCAGACGTGGTAGCTATGGTGGAAAGTGGAGAGGCATGTGAGCGGGGGAGCGAACAGGATGTTGCTGTTGAGGTTGCAGCGAAGAGCCCTCGAGGGCGACCGCGGAAGGCCTCACCAGGAGAGGAGATGCAGGTGGAGGCCACCCGCCCCGAGGCAGAGGGCGAAACATCTCGGAAGGGCAGGCCCGAAGCCGAAGAGCGGGAGGACAGCAACATGGACGAATCTTCAGAATCGTCGGGTGCTGATTCTGAAGATGAGCCGCTTGCAAAAAAATAACGCAAAGATTAGAGGAGAGAGAGAGAGAGAGAGAGAGAGAGAGAGAGAAAGAGAGAGAGAGAGAGAGAGAGTAAGTTATGTGAGCTGTTATGAAGTTATGTGTAAGGAAGTCCCAAGTTCAGTCTTCGGGACTGCACTCTGCGGGTTCGATGAATTTAGATTTTAATCATTTCATGATTTTCTCAATTTTCTCTGTTTTTTTACTTTTTTTTTTTCACGTACAATTGTTGAAGACCAGTGTCTCTTTTGTGTTGTTTATGTGTGTGCTCGCAGGTACGATGCGGTCGAGGAGTGGAGGTACGTCATTTTGTTTATCTTTGCAAGGGTGTAATACAGTGTGTATGTTAAACCAAAAGTGTGTACTTTGAAACTACCACAAGTGTGTACACTGTACTACTACTACCCAGCCCGTGATGCGGTATGGTACACCCATAATCTGTTGATAAGCAGACCTGAATTCGAATTCATATTGGAATGAAACGAGTACAATAAGTGTCAATAACTCTTAATCTACATGGGGCCAGACAGTTCAATGTTGATTTCTGAAGGTTGTCGCCCTTTCTCAAAAAAAAAAAAAAAAAAAAAACACAGGTTTTTAAATTGTAACACTTTTCATACGTTCCGGACTTTTCCGGACCTGCCTGGAAGTCCGGACATTCCGGAACTTCCAATGTCCGGAAGTCCGGACATTGGCTGAGCGGGTCCGGGTCCGTCGTAGCCATGATATATATATATATATATATATGCAAGGTAACCGGCGTTCGGGATGGTTCGAACGCCCGAACCCGAACACCCGAACGTATGGGACCCCTTGGGGATGCGTTCGGCCGTTCGGGCCGAACGCGGAAGCAAAAAAAAAAAAAAAAAAAAAACCCTGAAAAAAA